ATTAAAGAGGATTTAATTTTCGAATTTCCGTTTAGGTTATGGAAAGATCTATAAAAAATCGATTTATCATAAATTGATTTGGTTTCAGTCACTTTAAACGTTGAAATCATTAGAAAATATTAAAAAAAAAAAAATATTTTTATAGCCATTAGTCATTTTTGTTTTCCAAACCCACAAATATTATTTGTGTCCTCATAATAGGCTAATAAAAATTATTTTAACAGGCAAAATAATAGTATATTTATAGCTAGTATATTAAATTTAGCTTTGCAAATTATTAGAGATATTCTACCAAAGATAAACATCTTTCATTTTACTTTGATTATTAGACTTTTATTTTAGAGTTAAAAAATATTAAAATAAAAAAATAAAATTCTATTGTAATTATTAATTTATTAAAATTTAAATATAATTGCATAAATTTAGGAGAAATTATTTTCTTTTATTTTCTTCTATCAGATAAATACAATTATAAATTTGAATGCATTTAAAAAGGTTTGAGGCCAGCTTTGAAATTACATATTTTTCAAGTAATTATTTACCGTTAAATGAGGTGAATGACTCAATTATAGATAATATGAGTATTGCTCATATTATTAAAAAAAATATATTGAGAGTAAATAAAATTCTTCTGGTAAGTAGATAATATAAGAAATTCATACTCATACTCATATAATACAGATTTGCCCATAACCTACAAAATTTTGCCGAAGGTTCGTGTGCATAATGCTCTTTGTTTTTGTTGAAAACAAATTTCGCACACGCGAGAACTTGCTTCTTCTATAGTCATATGTATTGCATATATAAATCTTAATTCGACAAAATGCTTTTGCATAATATAATTTTAAAAAATAAATGAGGGTAATTTGATTGGTACACTAGTATACCAAGGAGTTACACTAATGTAATTAATAGTTTAATAATCATAAATTTGTAACAATTTATAATTTAATTGTTAATTTTTCGAAACTAACTATAAAGGAGTCCGGAAGATCAAGCAGCTTTTATATGCATATACAATATATACTTATATATTTTCATGCTAAATTCATTAAAAGTATTTAATAATAAAACTCTTTTAAATATTTTTTTAACAATTTTGTTATTATAAAAAAAATACAAATGTATAATAAATATAATTTCCTACTCTATAAATAATATAAAAATTCTATGAGATTTGATTTGAAATATTCCTCAATAATGAAAGAAAATAAAAAAATAAAAAATCTTAAGTAAGATTATAACTTTTTATACAATTTTTTTTATGAAAGAATTGTTAAAATTTTAAAAGACTTTTTATTTTTAACAATGTTTAATCCGAAATCAAATACATATATCTGTCATATGTTACTTAAGAAATAAAAAAAATTAATTCAAACATAGTGATTCAGTAATGAGTAAAATTGTAGTGATAGAATTGCAGGATTGTAGCAATAGATTTGTCGGTTTGCGAGATACAAGTATTTTGCTTCTATATCAATATAAATGTAGGAAGTTTAAATCTAATGCTCCCGAAAATGCGATTGAAATGTTTAGCGGTAAGGTGTGGTTCGATTTTTTATTATGTTCCGAAAAGCTTTTATCTCATTTATGATCACCCACTTTATCTCATTACGATTTTGTTACATTTTCTGATCATTAACTTTTATCACAGTAAAAGTGTTAAATTTAGGGCTCTTCAATTTTTTTAAAAGAAAATAATATAAGTAATCAAGTATTTGATCAAATATTTTTAAAATCTCCTTGTGTCGGAAAAAATCTGAGTAAAAAAGTAATTTCTGTTTTACTTATTTGTAATCCTCTAAATAACGATATGTAATATTATTAATATTCATTACTGAATCACTTTGTTAAAAGTAACAAATATTTTTTCATATTGGTAATTAGAGAAACCAGAATTTTTTTTGCCTCATTTTTTGTATCAAATTTTATATTTCTTACTTTTCCTGGAGTTTGTTCTTATAAACTGGTTTGAAGGATATTTAAAAAAAAACTTGTGCTATTTTCGAAAATTTTTATTTTTTAGAATAAATTAAACAATAGCTATCGCGGTTTTGAGTTTCTGTAAGAGTCAAGAATGGATACTATTCCGTATTGAGACGAGGAAAAATATCTATCAAGTAAAATGTAAGGATTTTATTTCAAATACAAAACATTGTGTGTTATTTTATGTAATTAAAATTTAATCTGTTTTCATTTAATTAAAATATGTGAAAATTTGCCGAAATACTCGTAATTAGAGCCGAGAATTTTAATCAAAAATTGCTTTAACTATAACATTAAATATTTCAGGTGGTATTTTTGGATAAAAATTTTGTTTTCTTAATATTAACTGTGTGTTAAAAATTGCTTCATTAACCCTAATGAAAAAAAACCAGCCCTATCATTAATTTTGTAGTGACAAAAAGTTCGTAGCTCTAAAATTCGGAATGTCATATTGTTAATTCAAAATTTTGTTCCAAATATTCGTAATAGAGTAATGATTAATTACGTTCCTAGTAAAAATACATGCCAAAAGTCTACGAAAGTAGTAATCATACGTAAGAAGCAATTTAAGGAGAGGATTTAAGTCGCTTTAAATTCTTTTCTAAATTTAAAAATTATCTGTTTCCCTCTTTCTTTAACGCAACTTGCTTTTTTACTTTTCAAGAATATTCAAAAATTAAAAAAACTGAAAAAAAATTTTTTAAAATATTCATTGGTTCTTTATTTAAATAACAAGAAAAAAATATAAATAAATATTTGACACTTGAAATAAAATACTAACTTTGAAATTTCGAAATATGCTGTAGCAATTGCTAATTCATAATCTCTTGTTTTTCAGTAAAATGTTTGAAATTCTATTGAATAACGAAGTGAAATTATATAATCATACAGTGCAGTATAATCATACAGTATGAATCAAATCTAATAGTTTCATACATAACAAATATGAATTTTGAATAGAAAAATTGACTAAATGTTTATTTGAAATACAAGAAGAGTATTTTAAAATTCTCTTTCACAAAAAATTTTTCACTCAAAAGAGAATTTTTGAAAGTGTTATTTTGTGAGAGTATTTTAAAAGTAATTTTAGTATGTACATCACTTATACAAACATGTGTACCTTTATGGTTTTTTGTACATTTTTGTATCATTCAAAGCTTTAAATCCAAAAATATTATCAATGGATGACCATATGGAAAAGAAAATTAAATATTTGAATTTTGTTTTTATAAAAGCTCTTTGACAATATTTTTTCCTAATTTATTTGTGTGCTTTTTTATTTATTATTTTTTTTTTTTTTTATATATTCAATTCAAGTTCAAAACAAATTAACTGTTGTTTGTTGTTTAGCTTACCACAAATTTTATAAACATTTAACATTTTTAGCATCTTTTTAAAAAATTGAACAGTTTGTTTTTATCTCTTGCAATGTTAAGGTGGCTATTTTGTGTGACGTTGTAGTGTAACGGTAAACGAAAATATTTGTGTTTTATTAATTGCTTCTTTCGGTTTGAAAAAAAAAGACAAAATAAGAAAAGAGGAAAATAAAAAAAAATTAAATAAATGAAAATATTTAGTTTTACTTTAACAATTTACATATATACTTACATATATATTCATGTATTATAAAAGATTGTTTGTGTATGTGTGATTGTATATTTATGATACACTTTATTATTATTATTATCATAATTTTTTTTTTTTTGGGAAATGAAATAAAAGTTGTTGATTTATTAATAATTATTCCAATTTAATTTTTCGATGTTTTCTTCTTGTAGTTTTTCTCTTATGATATGGTAAATTTGAACGTGTCAAAAATATTTTATAAAATAGTTGGTAAATTAGTAATTTAAATTAAGAATATAATTACAAAAAATAATAATAATTTTGTATAGTTAATTATTACATATATACATATGTGTAAATATGAAATACATAAATGAAAAGAAAAAAATCAAAGGAATAAATTAAAGAGAAAAGACTTTATTAAATTAAATGGTGTATTGTTATTTTCTTTTTTAAATAAATTTAATTAAAAATAAAAATAAATAATAATGAATAAGTTTACTTACTTACGAGTATTATACTCTCTGTCTTTTTCTTAAAATTCAAACTTAATTAAGTGGTTTTACGTGAATTTTATATTAAATATAATTTAAATTAATAATTTTAATTATATTATGTATATTATTGGGTACATGTGTCTTTAATTAATAATAGATGATTCCAATTTAATAAGAATTAATAATAATTTGATTATAATGTACTATAACAATATTTTTACACCATTCTCATCTAAAACTTATAATTTAAAATAAGTATAATATAAGTATATTATTATTTCTATTGTAATTAAAATTTTCTACAACCTATTAAAAAAGTTTCAATTGTGAATAATTTAATAAAATTAATAAAATAGAGAATTTTTTAAAACAGTATACTTAAATATACATTTAAATAAAAATTTTTTCATAAAAAATTATAATTGAACATCATACTTGAAGAAAATAATTATTTATTACCTATAATAATTAATAATATGAATTAATTATAATAAATTTTAAATAGGGGAATTTCAAATAACATAAAATTGTGAATATTGGAATTTTATAATTCTTGTCCCAGTAAGAAATTCTATGAGAATAAGTATATAATTTTGCCTAGTGATAAAAAAGTATTCGTGATTTTTTTTTATATATTTAAAAAAAAAAAATTTTTTTCTAAAGTTTATTTAAAGTAATTTTTTTTTATTAATTTTCTTTTCTATTTTAATCATAACATCAAATTAATTAAAAAATTAATTATTAAATTATTATTGTACAACTAACAAATATTTTTGTTTTGTTTTGGTTTTTTTTTAATACCGGTTATTAAGTTTGTCCAAACTAACGTGTTTTACTTGTATGCAAATCGAATAGTAAATAACAAAAAAACAACAAAAATACTATATAATACTTAATATAAAGTAAAAAAATTTTAAATAATTTATAATTTCAAAATTTAATTAAAAGCATTTAAAATTATATATGTAGATGTACGTATATATTTTATGCTAAAAATTGTTCTAAAATTTTTTGTATTTAAATATAAAATTAATATATTGAAAAGGAAAATAACAAATAAAAAATATTTCGCGAATACCTTTAGAAATGTGTAAATGCTTAAATTTTATATAATTAAAAAATTAAATACAAAATTCCTGTTTTAATAATTTAATTTTATTAATTAAAATGTAAGCATGCTGTTGTAAAGGATATTTTCTATTAGCTTTAAAATCACACAGGTAAGATTGTATATAAATTTAATAATTAAAAAATTATAAATGAAAATAATTACTAATTATAAAATTATAAAGATAATATTTAAGATATTACCTAGAATTTTTCCTTTGATGTAAATTTCTACGAAAACTTTACAGTTTCTTGGAATTTAATATTGAAATTTGTTTTTTTTTTCTTTTGAAATTTTTACGACATAATCTCTAAAATTAATTTGTCCTTTTAAAGGTTACTATAATTTAATTAAAAATTTTTCCTGCTTATTGTTTTCTTTTAATAATAAAATTTACTATAAGGTTTTTAAAATAACCTAAGAGATTTGAAATATTTTTTTATGTATAGAATTTTTGTTTTAATGAAAAAAAAATTCTAAAACTAGACGAAGGATTTTCTATTTTTGAAATACAATACAATAAAGGGAAAAGTCTGTTATTGGATCATCAACTTGGGTCTAAGTGGTGAGATAAGATAAGGCGAAATTTTAATATGAGGGGTGCTGACAAATAAATTCTTATATTATAATTGAATTAAGAATTAAGATATTGTTGTGTATGTAAGATGTGAAAAATATATTAATGAGTATATTAAGTACTTTTTTCATAGTTATACAAATAAGTAAATAGATTTACAAGTTTTACAGCTTTCCCAACTCTTTCTTCTCAAAGAAGAAGTTTTAACATTCTACTTTAATAATTAAATTTGTTAAATGTTTATATTGGAACTCTCCTTAATGCAATATTTCATTTTAAATTTAGGTAAATCTTTTTGATTTTAAAGAAGTGGTAGTAAAAATTTAAATCCAAGAAATAAAATTCTCTATAGAATTCAATTAAAATCAAAAAGTTTGCATTTAGCTGAGCGTCAGTTTACGCCACATTAAGATTTTGTTTATAATTTAAAATTTTTCAAATCAAACTATTATCATAATTTCGGTTTTTTTTTTCCAGAAAAAATATAACAGGCCAGTAAATATAATATATATAAAAAACTGTTTTTCATTTAATAAAGTTGGGTCAAACCAATGATTTGTAATATAACACTTTTTCCTTTAACTAGTGAAAAAATTACTTTTAAAAAAAATTTGTGTATGCCTACTACACTATTAAAATTACTTCCAATCATATACGAAATTATTTCAATAATTGCATATATTTAGGATGAACAATTTATGCAGCCCTTGGAATAAGGCGTAAGTTTAGAAAAATAGTTATATCTATTTTTTAATGCCATGGCATTTGCCGTTAGGTTTTTGCATTACTTTAGAAAAAAAGTTTACAGTTTCAGAAATAAAAGGTGCCAAAAATTCAAATTTTACAAAATTCGAAAAAAAGTTTTGTTCAAAAATGATTATCGATCTTATATTTTTAAATGTAAGGTTGTTTTGATTGCCAAAGAAATATTAATTAATTTTTTAATTATTAACAATAATATAGGACGTGAATAATTAATTTATCAACGTGTTCGCTTTTGTAATGATATTTTTATTTTAATTAATTAAAAATTCATTTTTCGAGAATCTATTTCTGTATAAGTCTTTTTTTCTCATAATTATTATTTAGGTGTAAACACAATTGAAACCACAACCTGGAAAAATTGTTTTTCATATCTACTAAAACATTTTTATTTTGCAAATGTTGGTGCATGAGCTAAATAATTAATATGTTTTCATTAAAAATTAGATTTCCTTTTATATAAAAATCGTATTATATAAATAGTTATACATACTATTAATGTTACTATATTACGAATATACATACATCTTTATTACATTCGGACATTTAAAGAAATTACTCGGACATTAAGAAAGAAAGTATGGGTAGTTATTTCAGGTATATTATATGGTTATGGGTTCTAAATAATATTGTTTAGCATTGGAATATGCTTTTTGAATAAATGGTTTTCTGGACTTTTACGAATAAAAAATACATAGTAGAGATTACATATAAGGTTTAATAGAGATACTCTGGAAAATAAAAAAAAATGTTAACAATAATTAAATTTATTCGACTAGATTTTTTGGATTCCTTTACACTCAGTTTAATTTTGTATTCCTAAAGTACATATTTGCGCTACAGTAAAAATCAAATGGTACATAAATATTTCATACATGCGCTTCTGAGATTTCCAAAGAATTCAAGTGCCATTTATTTAGCAAAGTTTGCTAAAACTTTTGTTTTAGCAAACTTGTTGAATACATTAAGATCTTTCTCCTGATAGTCCAAATGTGGTTGCGCTAAAATTTTTAAAATCTCATACAAGAATTTGGCTCATTCAAGAATAAAATTCTTGACCTGCTATTCTGGCTTACCTTTTAATAAATTTCTTCTTGTTTTTTTTTTATAAAATTACAACAGAATTGTTTTAAACTTCCAAAGTTTCATGGTGGTCGTATGAGCGGTTTATTAGTGATGACTTGATATTTACTATTTCAGTAATAGTATAGTTTATTACTGTTTTAACTCATGGCGCAACCGAAACTTTTCAAATTTTTTGATTAAAAAAAGTAAAAAATAATTGGTGAAATATGTAGGTTCCCAATCACACAAAATTTTGGAATAATGAATTTTTAAATACTTTAATGAATCTTTGAGTTTAACAACTTAATTACAAAAGATTCGTAATTACTCAAGGAAACAAAACCATGGATTAAAAAAATATCCCGATATTTTAAATAATTTTTTATCATCAATTGAAGTTGTGATGCAGTCCAGCAGATCAGTTTTCGAGCCCTGATCTTTCCAAAAAATTTATATGTTCATTGCTTTAATATGAGGAATTCATATCTTAAATTTCAATGAAATCGGTTGATTATTTCTCTTTATATACACAAAAATGTATATTTTTCCCGTAGTAAACGTCTAGTTGCCGATGCCTGATTTCTTCCAAAACATAGAAATTTTCGCGGACGGTCGAGCTGAGCTTATATATAAAATTTCAAGTAAATCGTTTGAATACTTTCTTCAAAATGTTCAAAAATGTAAAACAGGCCCGCTAAAAAGTGTAGTTCCCGAGGCCTGATATATACCAAAAGTTCATCAATCCGTGCCACGGTAGAAATAAACTTACATATAAAATTTCATCAAAATCGGTTCAGCCAAACTGGAGATACACGCGACGCGTGCACACACAGACAGACAGACCGACAGGTTGCTAAAAATAGTTTATTTACACTTCCCTACTATGGAGAAGTACGTTCCCACCGAAAACTCGATATGCAAAATTTGTTGCCATCACATAACCTACCTATTGTTTACACAATACGGTCGGTAATTAACCTCTGCTTTTTAAAATGTCATCGTTATAAAATTTATTTTAATGTTATTTTAATGAAAATCACTATTTAAGCAAAAAAAATTAATTGCATGTTATTGCATTCAAAAAGAAAGGGCAAATAATAGTTTTACAATTTACATATAAATACCAAAAAAATACAATCAATTAAATTTTAAGTTTCGTAAAGTAACACATTTTGTTTATAATATTTTTTTAAGACCATAACATACGAGTATAATCGAACTGCATATTTTTGGGATGATAACAAAGATTAACTTATACATACATCGAATTAATATTAGAGACTTTTTTGACGGTAACATAAGAATTTACCGTCTCTTATTTTATTTACAGAAATTAGATATTTAAAGTTTAAGAGTCGAAAATTTAAATTTATAGCTCATTTTGTACGGTCACAGCCCGAAAGAGGAAATATGAGGAATAAATTTTGTTTTAATAAATTAAATGAACGCAGAATTTGGGAATTGCTTGTAGTTTTGTAACATTAATCTGTCATTTTAATAAAAATTTTTGACACTCTCTAAATTTAAGAGGAAGCTTTTCAAAAAAATTATTTGTTGATCCATTTATGTATAGTATTGCAAGTGCTTTTTATTTTATAGAAAGTAGGGGTTTTGTAAACTTATGGATGTAATATACACAACAGACGAAACAATGTGAGGATAAGTATGAGAATTTTTTTTTCTAAAATATTTCGAAAATATATTTAAAATTAAAATATTCGTCTAAAATTAAATTTTATTTTTTTCAAACCGGCTTATAAATAATTCAACGACCTACTAAAATACTAAACGAAAATGCATTCAAGTGAATCGTAATTTCTAAAAACGTTTATATGTACTTAAATATGTTTTTTTTTTTAATATATTCATTTCTACATTTCCGAAGGTTATAAACTTACACACTTATACATATATATATACATTTGTTCTAAAATTTGCACTTGAAAATCAACTTAGCTTATGAATATTTTTTAAAATTTATATTTCTTATCGTACAGAGAGCTAGATTAGCATTCTTTTGATTAAACTTTTGCAAATTCCTGTTTAATTCAAAGTTGCTTTAATTTAAAACGGTATAACAAAAAACAAACAATCAAACAAAACAGCTTTTGTTTTACAACGTGATTTCTTTTTTCCCTAGTTTCTCATGCAGTCATTTTTTGTTGTGAGAATTGTAAAAAATTTTAAAATGCGATTTGATGCTATTGTTTTGCAATAAACTGCACTAATTTATAAAGTCTTGCTTTTAAAATTATTTTTTGTTGATTACATTAAAAATTTTTAACAACTTTAATTATCCGCTTGTTTGTCAAGAAATGAAATCATTATGAAGCCACAAAAATTGCAATTTCTCTTTTTAATTTTAATTTTAAAATGTTATCTTGTGTTTTTTTTTTGTTTCAAAGTTGATTTCAGAGACTGTTACCGTTCCAAATTGGAATTTTTATATAATATTTTTAATTTAATTTTGTAATAAAATTTTCCATTTTTAATCATTTAATAATAATTTCCTGTTGAAATTTACACAATATTACGAGTATTTTGGAATTATTACAACTCTTTAATTAACTGTGTAAGTAATTGACATTTGTGCATATATTGAAGGCATTTACATACATATATATGTAAGTATTTATGGATATATATGCGATTACAAAAATATATTTTCTTATAATATTCATGAAAATTAAACAAATTTGGGTTAAAAA